CCTATCAGATCAAATTAAAATAAATAAATGCATACATAAGATAATTCTTTAAAAAACCTATTTGTCATGTCACCTTCTCACAGAAGGCTTTTCCCTGACTCTGCCTTACAGCTAGTCATTCCTTTTTCCTATTCCCTCCATAGCACTTTCTATCTGTCTCTGTGATATACTACAGGCTGAGCATCCCCAATCTGAACATCTAAAATCCACAATGCTGGGACCAGCAGTTAGCGTAATGGCTATGTCGCTGGACTCCCACATAGTCGGCCGTGGTTCAAGTCCCAGACCTGGTGGCTTAAAACTTACGCCAGGTGCATGTGCGTGCGTGCCCAAGATTCCAAGAGGAGAATGGAAGAGAAGGGATTACGGCGTGGTCATCCCCCCTGGGGGGTGATTTCTTGCTTTCTGTCTCTCTGTCTCTCTCTGTCTGTCTAGCGAGCGCATGTGCCCTATAGCAAAAACCTCTCCAAAAAATAAAATAAACTGTATAGCAAAATACTCTCCAAAAAATAAAATAAAATAAAATAAAATAAAATAAAATAAAATAAAATAAAATAAAAAATCCACAATGCTCCAAAATACAAAACTCTTTGGGCCCCAATATGATGTTATACATGGAAGATTCTACACCTGATCTCATGTGAGGGGACTGCAGTCAAAATGCTATAATACACAAATATCACAAATATCATACAAAATTACCTTCAGGCTATATGTATACAGTGACATCATATATAAATTTTATGTTTAAACTTGGGTCTTGTCACTAATATGTATCATTTTATCTATATGCAAATATACTAAAATTTGAAAAAACTCTAAAATCCAGCACATTTCTGGTTCCAAGTATTTCAGATGCAGGATACTCATTTTGCACACACTACAGGACCTCAGAATTGTGGGCATCTATCTTTCCAGCTAGACCAAGAGAGAATTCACACCTGGTAATTTGTTGCATCTTCAACACTTCATGTAGGCAGGGGTCACAAAGGAGATCTAGGGACAAAGTCACTTAAAAAGAAAGCTAAAATCAAATCAAAGCCAAAGTACTATCCAGATCAAAATAGCTGAGAGGTAAGACAGTTTATAAAGAGAATCATCTAATTCAGAAATAGCCATACTGACTATAGTTGTGACAGACATAATTAGCTATGGCTGCAATAGCTGTTAAGCTAATTTGGTTTTGGCAGCTACTACACAGCAGACACATTCTGACACAGAAATTAAAAATGAATCATTTGGATTTCTGCCAGACGATCAACTATACCTCACAATAATCTCTCCTTACCATAACTGGAAAGTCAAGAAAAAAAATGAACATCAGGACCAGCAAATTGTGGTGGACTCAGCATGGGCTTTGGAGTCAGAAATCTGTACACTGAAATCTCAATTCAACTTTTTATAATCTTTGTGACTTTATGTAGGTTGTTTAACTTCTCTGTATTTTACTTTCTTCTTCTAGGGGAAATCAATGGGGTTAATATACCTATTGGGTCATCAGAAAAGTCATGATGCATTTTTGTACAGAAAAACAGAAAAATACGTCATGACTTTTCTGACAATCTAATACTTCATGACTCTAAAGATAATACAACAAAATAGTTATGATGATACTTGGGATATTACAGGGGCTCAATAAATAGCAGTCACTATTGTCATCCAATGAGATGACAACAATTCAGATAGTATCAGATACACAAGAACAGATGCATTTCTTAAGAAAATAAATTTTTGTCACTTGGCTTTCAAATTGACAAGTATAGCTTGCAGTTAAGTATAGCCACAAACAACACATCTGTAGTACAAGTTTCTTCTTGGATTTAAATTAAACTCACGCCTGGAACATACCATCACACTTCTTTGTGTTCTCCAACAAATGATCTCAAATCAGGTTCCCCTAGGATGAAAAGAAAAATCACCCAATCTTAATTTTTCTGCCTTTAATTTTATTTGATGCAGAATAATATCCAAACTATGTGGATGCTTTAAAGTGGCATGTTATGATGACGTCAAGCTTTTCACCATGATTTATTTCCCAATATTTCCCTGCTGATGCCTTTTACTCCAGTCAGGCAAGCGCACCTGTCACATAATGGTTCCTCTTCTGTCTACATTTCTCCAACTCCAAGTCAAGTAGCAGAAAGCATTTTCTCCCTCCCCTTCACCTATTTCAAATTCCCTTTACCTCTCTGGAGCCCAAATTAAAAGTCACCTCCTTCACAAAGCCTACCAGAATTGGTCTGAAAGACACATGAGGGTTTCAAGACTTCAGCATTTCCTGAGTTAGGCTTGAACCTCCATCAGTAGGCCCTTCCAGTAGCTCCTCAGTACTTTTTGCGAGTTTGTAATAATACAATAATGAATACAGCCTGTTTCATAAGGTCTATTTTATTCTGTAGTTGGTGTGCTTCCTGAAGGCATCAGCATTAGTGCTGACAGTCTTTGCTGGAAGCCCATAAAGTGCTGGGTTTTCAAACTAGGTCCAACTTGCCTTTCATACTCATCAGAACACTGCAGTGAACCTAAAACACATGTTTCTCAAAACCAAGACTGATTCCCTCTCCTGCTTCCCTTCCCTTCTGGAAATTGAGAGGAAACAAACCCTTTCCACTCCAAAGACCTCTTCGGTAAAGGGTGGGTGACTGGAGGGCCCAGTAAAGAGATGGCGATCTTTATCTCAGGAAGAAAATGTGACAAAAGTCAAGCCCCGGCCATGGAAAGGGAGTCCCGTGGCCCCAGAGGAAAAGGGAATGTGTGGTTTGGAATGACCATGTGCCCAAACCTGAAATACAAATTGAGGAAACAGATCACCTAACTCCTGCAAGTAGTAAGGACAGTCGAGACCTCGCCTCGGTTAGACCCCTGGTCACGAACCCTAACTTCAGATCTCTGAGGCACAGGCAGAGGTAGGGGCGGGCACCGTTGTAGAAGAAAAAGAGCAGACAGGTTGGAGGAAAGAGAAAACAGAGCGCATTCCCGAGGCTCAAGGGAACAGGCGTGGAGTAAAGAAGCCCACCCCAGATTCTCAGCCCCAACACCCCCTCCCCTGGAGAGGCGGAGCTGGGCGGAGTTAGGCGCTGAGGACAGCGGCCCCGGAAGCACCCTCTTCCCTAGTTCCCCTCAGTCCCACAGTCCCCAGCCACGACCACTCCGGCTTTCTGCCTCTCTGACCTCCCTC